CTCTTACATCTTCTATCTTCCTCCCACATCTTAAGGTAAATTTCCTGTCCTCATTGCACTAACTCGAGCACCTGAGCTCGCAGGGCCTTCCTCTTCTGCCTTAGCTGGGACCTGCCCCGTAAGTGACTTCTCCTGTTTTGCATTTGCAACTCCTCCCTCCCTAGTTAATTCTTTCCCTTAACTTACAAAGATTGTCAAGTTTTCCCATTCTTCTAAAAAAAAAAAACCAAAAAACAAAAAAACATTGTTCCTTCTTTTCTCTGAGTTTCTGCACTGCCCAACATCCTTCCTATCAGGGTCACCATCACTCTATGCCCCTTCACCCCCTAATTCTAGCATCCAGGACTCAGCACCTCCTCAAATCTCCTCCCAAAGTTCACTAGTGACCTGGTGCGTTCTCAGTCTGCACATTCATCTGCATCTCTCTAGCACTTACAAGAAGGATGACTCCCTGTCTTTGAAACACCTTCCTTCTGTTTCTATGCGCTGTATGCTCAAGATTCTTTTTCCTGATTCTCTAACAGGCCCTCCCTCCTTGCTCAATGTGATGACTCCCCAGGAATGCATCTATGGTCTCCCCTCTTTGTATTCTCCCACCCTTGTCAATCCCACCACTTCCACTCTCACTCTAGAGAAAAGACCTCTGAAGTTGGCTCTCTTTGGCCATGACTCTCTTCCCAGCTCCAGGCCTCGGGTCTACCCACCTGCAGACCTCCCCACAGAGAATCCAACACTGCACTGCCAACAAAAGTGCCCAAACACTTCTTCATGCACTCTCTAAAACCCCTCTCCTGTCTCACCCCTCTCTACTCCCGCTGCTTCTACCCAGCTCCAAGTAAATCTACCCTTCCCTGAACAGGCAAAGCCCTTTGCCTCAACCTCTCATCACACTGGGCCCTTTCTAGAGTGCAATCCAGCTGTCTGTCAACAGGTCTCATCTCCCAGGCTAAGCCACAAGCTCTCCTATTGGAGTTTTTTCTGGCTTTGCATTCCATGGTGCTTTGCACATAGTAGGTGCTAAAAGAATGAATGAAAGCACTTTTAAACACCACAACCAGAATGGACAAAGTACATTAACATTGTACAGACACTTCACTTCCTCTCAGTGTTCTCTTACCATCGCTGCTGAGCAACTATGTGCCAGGTACTTTGCCAGACACTGTGACTATTGCTGCTACCAATTCTCTCAATACTAATACTACTACTATTAATAATAACAATGGGCATTCAGTACTTATCATGTGTCAGGCAGGCACTGTGATAAGCATTTATGAGGGTTATAGTATTTAATGTTAACCACCACCCTGTAAGTAATATTATCCCCCTCATTTCACAAATGGGACAACAGAGGCACAGAGGAAAAACCGAGTAATTTCCCTGCCTGCAAGGAGCAATAAGTCCCGAAAAGGAAGACAGACTGTGGGCACACAGTTCCAAGCGTGCATAGGGCTATGAAGGAACAACACAGCGTACCATGGCTCCCCCTTTCCATGGGTTCATTTTCCACAATTTCAGTTACCCATGGTACAGCTCATTAAGATATTCTGAGAGAGAGACCATATCCACATAACTTTCATTACAATATATTTTATTTTATTTATATATTTTATTTTATTACAATATACAATATAATTGTTCTATTTTACTATCAGTTATTGTTATTCATCTCATACTGTGCCTAATTTATAAATCAAACCTTATCGGTATGTATGTATAGAAAAAAACCATAGGATCTGCAGGGTTCAGTATGATCCAGTCCACAGTTTCAGGCATCCACTGGGGGTCTTGGAACATGTCTCCCATGGAACTGGGGACTACTGTATACAGGACTGCATAACAATGAGACTTGACTCAGGCCAAGAGCCAGGGATGCTTCCCTGAAGAAAGGATGAAATCAAATCGGAATAAGCCAGTAGAGGAGGAAGAACAGGCATATCAAGGGACCAGGCAGCTCTGAGAATTCATGGCCCTAAAAGAAAGCATGCGCTGAGAAGGAAAGAAGAGTGCTTTCCTAAACAGAGCACTGGGAACCAGTTCGCCTACCAAGCATAGTTCCTATTTTCCATCCACATTTAAACAAGGCATGTCAGGATTTCCTTACAGTCAGATCCCCTATGGAAGCGTGCTTTCAAAAATCATTTATGGGGCCATGTCATTTTAAGAGCTTAACCACTAGGTATCAGCAAAATGTAATGACAAGATTGGTGTGACAGATTCCAGTTTACCAAAAAGGTAGAAACTCAGAATTCCACAGAAAGAACTCCACATCATCAAGGCCAACAGATTTTGTCTCTGAGCGGTAATAATTATTATCCAATAGTGGCTAGTCCTTTATCCAGCCCCATGCAATGGGGTCACCTTCTCAACAGAACACAATAGATTTTTTAAAATTTGAAACCACCTGAGACACAACTCTCTGGTGTTTTTCTTTTTCTTTTTTTTTTTTTCCCTTTGCCTGCAACAAAACAGAATCATACCAAGCCGTGTCTCATCAATCTAAATTCTCTGTGTCTCCTTCTCCATAGCCAACACACTATAAATATACAGCTTTCATGACATCAACACAAAGTTTTATTGTGCCGTTAGCTTTGATAAAAAGCACTGCAGAAAGTTGTTTAGAAATTAAATATCTAAAACAAGCTATTTTAAAATCCAGGACCCTCACTATTTCATGTCTGCAATGAAGAAATTTCATCTTGGGGAGAGCAAGCTGTCTTTCACACCATATGGCTAATGGTGGTGCATAGCAATTAGCCAGCCTGATTAATGGTGAACAGACTCTAATTTTATGCTTATAATTGAGCCTGCATTTGCACCCCTGGTGCAAATTCAGCACATCCCAACTTCCACTTACAACAGGCAAGAAATCAAGAGAAATAGGATGGTGTGGAAAGTGAGAATTTTTTTCCTAAAGCCCCCTAAAGAGCATCAGATTTGCAATTTAAAAGACTGTTAGCCACACAATAGATGACAGGTTTGTGTAATAGGGTCATGGCGGCCTGGGTAAACAAACAGTACCCCTTACACATCTATAGGCAGGCAGGAAAACCATAATCTGTAACATTAGCAGGATGACATTTTGAATATGGCTTTTCTCTCTTAGCCAAGCAGTACAAACATCATCATTTGCCTTCAGTGGCTTGAGAATTTTATTTTTGCTATTTTTATGTTTCTGAAAAACAGAAAGAACATCAGCAGTAAAGCACACCAACCAGCATAATAAAGTACTTTGGACCAATGAATTTTAAAAACAAGAAAAATATAAACTGCATTAATAGAGGGTAGGCCTGTGTGTGAAAGGCATAATATATCTTCAAGTATTTCAAGAATAGAATTATTTCTAGCATAGTCCAAACATGTGCAAATATGAGATGCAAATCTATGATATATAGATATTATTTGGCCTATTGGTTGAGATCCATCTCCCTGTCTGTTTCCCATTTTGCTAGAATCACATATAGTAGAACATGGAAAATTCATTCTAATGACATGCTAATTGCGAGAAGCTAAAATAGAGATATGGTCTAAAAAACAGTAAGATGAAGGCGGTCACGTTTTAATGCTTTTCAAAATAAGTTCTCCTTATTTAATTCTGAAAGGTGCAACTCACCTTTACTGCACAACTGTTATACACAACATCACGCTCACTTTTTGCCTAGTAATATAAGAAATCCATGACCATACTTTGGGGTTCTGCTACTGCTTTGGGATTAGAGAAAAACAACTGGCTTTTATAATAATTAACAAGTTTTACAAATCACTGAAGTGAAAACTTGTGAAACTCCTGTATATTTTAGAATAATATATTAGAAGTATGTTTTTTTTCCAAGAAGGAAAAAATGAAAATGTTATATACATACATAATTGTAGACATAAAAGAAGTTAGTATTTGGGATTTCACTCGAAAGCACATCAAGCCTTATTTTTAATTTTATTTCCACCTGTAGAGTTTAAAGGCTGCTTTCCCCACAAGTCTGTGAACACCAAATAAAGCCCACCCATGCCACGGCAGCAACTGAAGCCCCAAATGAACTGGTCAGCAGCAGTCAGCAGCCAAGCCAGCTTTGTGCCAGGAAAAGCCTGCATGGCTAACAAAGCAATTAGTAGCCTTTCTCTGATGCACAGTGGCATCTTCATGCTTTATCCAATTACTCAGAATACGTTGGAAGCAAAGTGCTGGTGTTATTTTACGAAGAATAAGAACATAAGTTAAAAGGCTATCCCCTGGTCTATTTTCTTTCCCATTTGTGGAGGCCAGGCTGAGGCCATGAAAGTGAATTTGGTCTATGTGCCTATTTCCAAATGTAGCTTAGGTCTGATTACAGGTAGAAATAAAGACAGTCATTTGTGGGTAACATGAATTTTATACCTTTTAGGGACTCCTCTTTACCATCCTTCCAAAAGCTCACTACCTATGAGAAATATTAACTACATTGTCAAAGCTATCTACAGGGTAATTAAGAGATCAAAGACAAGGGGAAAAAAAAAAAAACAAAAAGCAACTCATACGCAATTTAAGGAGAAATGATGCCTAGGTACATACAGATGGTCACATTTTTAAGTGGGAGAATGAAAAAGGGGAACTATAACTTTCGAGTCTTACCCAAACAGAGGCCTCTGCTGACATCAATAGAATTCTTACTCACTTTACTGGCAATGCAGTTGAGTGCATAGATTAACACTAAAATGGTTATATTTATTTTATTCCACTGTGAGTGAGAAGGAGAAGGTACTGCTTTGTGCCCATTCACAGGGTGATATCAAAATGGAAATGTATGTCTTTCAGGATGAAATCTAATAAATAATTGAGAACTATTGTGATGCCTGACACTTTCCCAACAAATACTCACATCTAACAGTTTTGTACAGATTATTGAATAGAAGCAAAATAAATGTGTACCCCAAAACAGGCGTAAGTTCACCTTGGTTTGAAATACAAATTCATCTTCAGATTCATCTTATCTTTGTTAATTAAACGGACAGACTCAAGTGTTTCTTACCTGCACATGATCTCATGTGTGAGCAAGACTCGGCACATTTCTGGGTTCTTGTCTTGGCCTTCATACACTATGGCCTGAAAGCAAAGGCATGATTTTAGCTAAGAGTGGAACCAAGCAGAGAAAACAAACTCTCACAAGGGAGTTCTTGACCACTTCACCACTACTGAGGACCAATTAGTGTTCAGGAGCCACAGGCCTCCTGGGCTGACTGTTTCAGGATCAACCCAAATGCAGTGGAACGGGCCATGTTCCTCCCAGCCCTGTCAATCCCTTATCATCATGCACACCTCTGGACCAGCGTGTGGCATGGGCTTCTGTCGTCAAGACAACCACTATCCTCCTTTTAATACAGAATAAAAATAAATCTAATCAACAGGAGGCAAACCCCAGAAAGCTTAGCAGATTGAGATGCTATTTATTTAAAATATAGAAAAGCCTACGGATTTGATTTTGAAATGCTACAGATTTGCCTTCCCACCTGACTACTTCCAGGCCCCAAATTTAGTGTTCTAGTGGTGAGGAGTAGAAAACAAGTGTGGGGGAAGCTCATGAGTCTATTCACTAACTGTGTCATCTTTGAAATGATTCATCAATCAGGGAAAATCCCTCTTTCCATCAATAGGCTGAAAACACGTGCTCTCCCTCAGTGTACACCCACCCAAACAGGAATACTTGTGGGCATATGCTGAAGGGGGGGGTGGGGAGGCTTAAGCCATAGAGTTATCTCCCTAAACTAAGAATTACATCTGACTCAAATCTGGAGTACCAAACCACCTCACCAGCCAAAACGTTTTTGTCTTTTTTTTTTCTTTTTATAATACATATATAAATGCTTTGCTTAAGGACACCAAGAAGGTTTCTGGGACCTCAGCTTTCTCATGTATCTATATGTTAATACCTGGGCCAAAGAAAAACATACAGCTATTAGCAGAGCAGTGCTCTGAACTGGGATACATTTAACTAATTTAACACTGTATCACTGCATAATGCTAATATCACACAGCTTCAAATTGTTAATAAAATTACTTTCACACATTCATATAACCCTCGATTTCTTGGTGACAAAACTACTTAAATTAACCAGAGACTATTCTTATGTAGTACTTAGAGATGTTGCAGTGACTAACTTGTACTTAGCTCTAATATGCTTTATTTTTGAACCTGAGACTTTCAGAACCTGTAAATGATGAGTACAGCTTAAGATCAAGTGCATATAGATCCTCAGAGCAGGCTGCGGTTATGATATCTGACCACATTACAAAATAAACATTGCAACAAATTAAAAAAAGAGGAAAGGTACTTGCATGAGGAGAATACATTTCTCTACCACTGGCCCATCAAAACCATTTTTTATAGCTATCCTATCATAACCCTGTATCTTTTAAAAGTTTTTTGACATAATTGTACACTTACAAAAAAATTATAAGAATATACAAAGAATTACAAGGATGTTCTTTACCTATATTTTACCAGACTGCCCAAATATTTGCATTTTTAAATTCTTTTCTGAGGTTTTTTTTTTGCCTGAATCATTTATTAGTAAATTGCAGACATGCCCTAAATACTTCAGCATGTATTTCCTTAAAACAAGAAATTCTCTTACATAACTCAGTAAAATTCCCTAATCAGAAAATTAGCATTGATATAATATAATAATCTAATACACAGATGCTAGTGAGATTCACCAATTACCCAATAATGTCCTTTATAGCAAAAGAAAATCCAATACTGCATTCAGTGCTCATGTCTCCTTTCATATAGAACATTCCTGAGTCTTTTGTATTTCATGACACTGATATTTTTGAAGAATACAGGCCAGTTATTTCATGGCACATCCCTCAATTTGGGTTTGTCTGAGCTTCCTCAGGCTAAGATTATAGTTATATACTTCAGGGCATGAATACCACCAAGGTGATGCTGAGTTTTTCTCAGTATATCAAATCCTGTTATCGACAATTTCCAGTTCCACTACTGACAACGTAAATTCTGACCATTTCACTACGGTAGTGCCTGCCATCTACCAGAAATTATCATCCAGGTTTTCCCACTGTAAAGTTATTACTTTACCCTGTGTAATTATAACTCTCTCCTGGGGAGATAAACTATATCTTCGGTGCCCAACTTCTGGGCCAAGGACCAGTATCAGTCTCTGGCCTGTTAGAAACTGGGCTGCGCACAGCAGCAGGTGAGTGGTGGGCTCGCAAAAGAAGCTTCATCTGTATTTACAGCCATTCCCCACAGCTCAGCTCCACCTCCCATTGGAACAGCGGTGGTATTAGATTCTCCCAGGAGCACAAAACCTACTGAAAACTGCACATGCAAGCCATCTAGGTTTCATGCTTGAATCATCCCTAAGCCATACCCCTCCTCCCCCAATCCCAGTCCGTGGAAAAATTGTCTTCCATGAAACTGGTCCCTGGTGCCAAAAATGTTGGGGATTGCAGATCTACATTATGTTAATATCCTGTTATGCCTCAAATTTTTATCCGCTAGTTTTAGCATGCATAGATGGCTTTTTTCCTATATTCTTAAAAGACCTTTTCAAATTCCTAAAAAGTTCCTTTACTCAAGAAAATGCATTAACTGAAAATGTTTTGAAAACCAAAAATCATATCTGCCTGCTTTATTTCCTGCAATCACTGCTGAAAAAAAAAAAACCTACAGTAAATTACTGATTAGATCTCATACATGGTGCTAAAAAATTCTAATGACGCATTTCTGCTAAATCTTATTATCACTAAATTGTTTGTATGTTCTCTTAATACTCTTGATAACCTCTGTTTCAACTTTAGTATTTGTTATGCTAAACTAAAACAAGTAACTTGGTAAATAAATTCACAGATATTAATGGGATTTCCCCTACCCTAAAAAAAAAAAAAAGTTTGGTTTTTTGGGGAGATGGGGGATTATCAGTTACATCAGAAGTTCTCATTTTGATTCTTTCTAGATGATATGAATATTATTTTTACTGAGACTACTGGTTCCATTGAAACTAGTGGACCCCTTGTGATGTTCAGGGAAAGATACGCTCATGACTCCCCCAAAGAGTACATGGCGTAGATGTCCAGAATTCCTGTGTTATTCCTTTGGTGACTGCACATGACTTGTTTAAGGACCAGAGCCTCTATAATATATCTCTTTACCAAATACCAAATCACCACTTCGCTTCTGGTAGCAGAGTCAAAACACAGAATCTTTCTCCAAATCAAGCATAGAAAAATGAAACCATCAGTTTGGATTTGCTCAGAAATAGCTAGGATCTCTGGGGAGGGTGAAAGCATGGAGTTTCTGCTCTTCTTCTCCTCCAGGCCTCCAAAGAACAATGTTTTTCAGCACATAAAAGCAGAGAAAGAAATGTTGCTTCTGTAACTTTTGAAATAAAAGCAAGTAAAACTCCACTGTGGAGTAGGGCAAAAATTCTGTAATTAGAGTTAAACTAGAACCTCTGTGTAATGGGGTTAGCTCTAGAGTGGAATTCAGTCAAAGGCAGATCTACCTGTAGCCTCACAGAAACAGTTTGTGTGTGTGTGTGTGTGTGTGTGTGTGTGTGTGTGTGTGTGTTTTACTGAAAAAGCAGCTTGTTAAAACACACACACACACACACACATCATCATCATCATCATCATCATCATCATCATCATCATCATCATCATCATTATACAGAAGGTAAGGGCCCAGAAATCAACATTCTGATGAGACCCAGTATAAGAAGATATGATAAATTTATTTTGGTCACTGTCTCTGATGCAGAGGAACAACAATAAGATTATTTTTTTAAAATGCCACCGAGTTCTCCCTCCAGCTAATAGCTTCCTATCGAATCTCTACCATCTACGTTTAGCTCACACAGCAAGACTGGTTCACAGTTCAGCAAACCCAGACTTTAAGCCCAAAAGGATATGGATCCTCTAATACCAACTTAGGGTGGAGTTCCTGCCTCTCCTCCTAATTTAAATATGTGCCTCTGTGGGGTATAAGAGAAGCCGGTTGAGGTTGGATCAGCTGGGAGATCACACAAGCATATAAACAGCACTGACTATTTTAAGTGAAACCATTTTAATAGACAGCTGGTTTAGGGCCCAGACAATGGAGCACCAAGAAGAAGGCTTATTTTCATCCTCCATAGTAAATCATGCGTCTGCTCACTGTGAGAGGAAGGTTGTCTGCTGTGAGAGGGACAAAGACAACTGTGGTTTAAATAAATCAATGTGTTTATCAGAAGTAAGGTTGGGAGGCCTGCTACATAGATGGACAGGAGGAGGAGAGAAGCGTATACAATATATCATTTGAATAAATCAATTGATAGCGAATCAAGTTGAGATTTGTAACCTAAAAAACAAAACAAAAAAAAAAATGCAATATCAAGGAGAAAATGAAGTTTAAATTAATCTTGCCAATGGCAAATAAATTTCTTAAGGTGGCAGGAATGCTTGTACAAGAAGAAAAGTTAAATAATAAACAGCATTAACTTCGTCTCAACTTTAAAAACCTGGTCAAATTGATAAACAAGTTGTCAAAACTGGACATAGTTTGAGCAGATTTATTTATTTTTATATACTAGCCTCCCTTCCCTACTGTTGTACTCTAATAAGCAGACAGAAAGTATTGCATATTATTTTTTAAAACTCTCTTCACTTTTCACTTGAGAGTTTTTCCAGAATAATTTCTTATAGTTAACTAAAGAAGTAGAAAACACAGAGACTGTCAAAACTTTCACATCCTAATACAACAACAGTGCTGGAAATTTTACTGTTAGTGGATAAAAATGCCATCATTTCAAACACTCAATTACAAATTAACCTATAACATCTTTGAAAATAAATAAGTCAATTAATATATGAAACCTGTCTCAATTGCTGCTGTTTTAGAAGGCATCTTGTGAAGTATGGTTCATTCTTGCTTTTCTAAAATATCACTGAGTCTTAAAAAGTTAATTGAAACTTACTATGGATAAAGACCACACAGTAAAACAAAAAATACACAGTGAACACATACCAGGATCACACTTCAATAGGATGCCAACGGAAATACAGAGAATTGAGCATGGTTATTCTGTGTTTACTTTTCTAGTAGT